TCGGCGTGATTTAAGGTGAAATATGCCCACACCCACACTCACACCCTGTACTCACATTCCACACTCACACCCATGACATCCCTTGAAGGTCTAAGGGTCTGTGCTAAATAATAAGACATGGACTCCCAATGATGGGTAAAATATGAATGCGTAAGTGGGTTCCAAATTTGGAGTTTACGTGTGAAGCTCACTATTTTTGACCTAGTAACATGCTTCCATTTAAGTTCATGCACACGAAAACATTTCACTGCCATGTGTAATTGATAGCTATGAGAACTTTTTTAATCTAGTTGAAAACGATCCAAATAGTCAAATATATGCAGATTTGTGACAGTATGTACTTAATATGGATGCTCGAAAAATTTTCAACAAAAACTCGCCTTTCAATCATTTTTTGATAAGACGAAGTGGCTTTTTAGCTACCCTGTCGATCTCTGTGCAGACTAATTGCAATTAGAATTACCATGTTTGGAAACATTTCAGGAAATGCAGAACGCAAATTATTAAAAAACTCCGTGCACATTGTGTATAGAGAAAGCTCTAAGTTACCAGATGGCAAAATGTCGACGGAAGTTGCTGTTATAGAATAAAATGCATTTCAAAAAATTTTCACACGAGTCACTTCAGCAAGAGATTGTACGACATAAAATGACAACTGGAATTGCCAAATTACCCTCCACATAGGAAGGCATATTTAATTGTTTTGCCTACACTGTCGAACTACTGAAGAGTCTAATACTCTATTGCAGTAGTTTTTTTATTAGTGACTCTTATGAAACCATCATGGGAGCGATAGGTTAATTTAAACACAATGCATTTCGGTTTCTGTTTGATATTTGACATCATCGAGCAAATCAATATGATAACATAATCTATGTGAAATTGTCTGGAATTTTTATTATATGAATTATGTTTGATTTTCATAGGAATTTTTTTTATGCTGAGAGCATCTTGATAAGAACTATTTTCGTTTTTAAACAAACTGACATATTATCAATTAAGATTGTTATCATAAAGTTTTATAAATAGATGTGCAAGGTAATATCTTAAGAAAAGTTCATTTTTAATTATCGACAAATCAAATAAATAATCCTATTGATAATCAATTAAAATAAAATAATAAATCATTCATAGTCAGAGCACAGATATTAGCAAAAGAAAAAAAACCTTGAATCTATACATGTGTAGAATTTAAATTTAATATTGGTACTGTTACATGTCGAGTATCATAAAGTAGGCCTAAAAATAAAAGTCTCATAAAATAGAACGAATATATTTTCATATGTATACCAGCAATCGATGCTGTCATTAATGAAACCATACTACCAGCAATCAAAGCACGTGGTGCAATTTTTGTTAAAGCACGTTTTCGTGTAGGAGCAAAAACTCCAAGTGTTGCTAATGCAATACCCATCGAACCAAAATTAGCAAAGCCTATGAACAGTCCTACTCAAGAAAACATCAATAAAATATCTAAAATATTTACCACATAAAGCATAAGTTAAAATAATCGGTGAAGTATCCTATAATAAAGAAATTTTATATTTTCTTCAAAAGAAAAAGAAAACAATTTAATATATAACATATTTACATCCCATAACATAGGAACATCATTTGGTAATGTTAATGTACCATTTAAATATAATGGAAATGTATTATTTAATATAAGTTCATTACGTAATTGACGTATTTTACCAAGTTCTTGATAAGCAATAAACTATTCATCAAAAAAATCGATATTATAGAATAGTTAATAAATAATGAATTCTTACTTCATTCAAACTAGTTTTTATTCCAATAAGTTTTGATGATACAAGACAATCACGAAGTGGAATACCAATTATCATTGAAAATGGATA